AAAAAAAAAAAAAAAAAAAAAAAAGGTATCTCCTCCACCATTTCTGACTCCACTCCACCACCTCATATATACCCTAAATTACAGCATCGAGACCTATTTTAGTGATTCACGTCAGAGTTACTCCTAGGCTGGCACTTCAGCCTAGGAGTAGGTCCTCAGTCCTTCCTAACTCATAACTCAACACCACCAGTCTTCCCCTCTGTGCTCTCCCTGCCTGATGTGGCAGTGGTAGCACAAAGGTTCTGAGTTTTCTTCATGAAATCACTAATTAGTTCAACAATTTTCAGAGTTTCCCAAAGCCTAGAAAGTTGAATGTGAACTGGGTCTCGATGACCTGGGCCACCCTGCCACCTACTCAAGCTGGAATACCAAGTACCAAGCTCATTCTACAGGTACATAACAACCCTTAAGATGCCACCCTGGTGGAACACGTGGTACATGCCAGTAATGCCAGCACACTGGGAGACTGAGGCAGGAGGACTCCAAGTTCTAGCCTAGCCTCAGCAACTCAGTGAGACTCTCTCACAATAAAAAACAAAGGCCCTGCATTCAGTACCCAGTATCACAAAACACAAAAACAAAACATCAGCATGTATTATACTCTGTCATCCCCTGAGCAAATCTCTTGCGATTTGCATTGACAGTGCAGAAGCTGCTTCTCCACCATCCCCCCAGCCAGCCCATATCATGCCCTGCTTTCTCCATTGCTTCTTCAACCAGTCTCTGTCAAGGATTAACATGTTCTTGCTGCTGACAGACTTGCCCCATCCCATTCATATTTACTGTCCTTCTTCACAATTCCTGACAGACAGCAACAATTTATCTCTTTGCAGCCGTCACCGTATTTAGTGCAGAAATGACTTCTAGAAGGAATTCACACACAAGTCAAGGACCACGCTTTCATGCTCACCTTCAGCCTCACCCCTTCTGCGTGGGTGTCTTTTTGCCTTTCAGAGCCTGCTAAGTCCACCAGGTTGAGTTGGGAGGTGCGGATATTCACGACCTCACTGCTTTTCTGCATGGACTCTACTATGATTGTGAAGACTGCGTGAGACCTGGAGGACTCCCGATTCATTGATGTTGATGCCACACGTCTGTTCCTCCACCCTCCAGACAACACCTAGGCAAAAGGAAAGCATGCTGCAAGAGGCTGCAACAGGTACCCTCCAGACAAACTTAAAACACAAATCATCATTTAACAAGAAAAATCCTGACATATAATGAATTATCTGCTTTCACAACATCTACACAAAATGTATCTGCATTCTGAAACGTGGGTGGGGAACAACTATGATCTTTCTGCTGTTATCCAGCTTGAGAGACATTGTATGACTGGAAGTTCCAAGTGGTACAGGTTAAGGCTACACTGCGAGTTCAAGGCCAGCCAGGTCTACACAGTGAAACCCTGTCTCAAACCGCCCCCTGCCAAACAAGTGGTACACGTTAGCCACCAAAAATCAGTGGGAAATCTGCAAAGAGTCGCAAGAAAGGGTTACTGGCAAAGAACACATGAGTTATTTTCTTTCCTTCTTGATATTATGGAATGAGAACAAATAGGAAGTTAGAAGGCACAGGATCTAGAATTGGTTTTGTCATTATCTATTTGTATTAATGCAAATCACGAGATCTTTCTGACTTCTTTTCTTTGTCTAGATAATCTTGAACCAAAAAAAAAAAAAATCTAAATTAACTTGAACCACAGTTTTATTAGGGTTTTTCTCCCCCTACAAAGTATGATCTCCCTTATCTACCTCCTAGGACAAGAAGGACACTTGAAGGTCCAGCTGCAGGCTCTAGAGTCAGGGGACCATGAGTTCAAACTCTCTCTGTTTACAAGGTGTGGTCTGCAGCCAGCTGAACCTAAGGCACAGGCTCCATACTGGTAAAATAAGAACATTGGTATCTACCTGACAGGGATTCAGTATGAGGTGGGGCCTGCGAATACACAGTTCTAACAAGCTTGCAGCTGATGCTAATCATCTGAGAACGACTCTGAGCAGCATCACAGCATGTGAAGGGTAAAGTGGGGAAATCACAATCTTTATCTCAAAGAGTAGACTGAAAATTCAATGAAATAACGTGTAGAAATTATAGTATAAAATAAAATAAAGTATAGAAGTCAGCACAGTTCTTGGCTATATACTCAATAAATACTAGCTGTTAGAAGAGTCTCTATTCACAGGATACAATATAAAATTTAAATTATTTGTCAGCGATGGAATCAAACCCAAGGCTTTACACATGGTAGCATTTCACCACTGACCTCTATCTCTAGCCCATAAAACTGAAATTATTTTTCTTTTATATTTCTTGCATAGTGTTTTATGCTTCCTTTTCACAATAGCAAATCAATCATGACATTCATACAGTTACAAAAATTTAAAAGTTCCTCAAACACAAGAAAAATTTCAAAATACTATTATCTAAAAAAGCACAATGTAAAAGTAGTATACTATGCTATTACTTTTGCAACATAAGGAAAAAACGAATACAAGCATGCTGGCATGGATGCTTATACAAAAACTGAATAAAAACAAAAACCAAAGATCAAAGCCCAAAATATTTGATATTAAGACATTAATTCTTCTACAAATGTTTGACAGATTCAACACAACCCCATTAAAAATCCCAGCAACCTTTACTGTAGAAATTGACAGGTTGGTTCTATCTAAGTGATAATAAAAAGAACTAAGAATATCTAAAATAATGCTTAAAAAGAACAAAGTTAGAGGAGTCACCATACTTTATCATAAGACTTACTACTAACAACAAGCTATATAAGCCAGATTTATATCAGTGAAAAGGGAACAAGATATAGAAAAAAAATCAACTGATTTTCACCAAAGGTACACAGGAAAGCCAATGAGAAAAAATCATTTTCCAACAAATCATATTGCATAGTAGATTAAAAACAAAGGGCAAGAAAAAAGAAAGCACTGAATAAAACAGACAAAAACCACACTGCACAGAAACCACTCAAGAGTATCGAAATCGTATCAATGTAAATAAACTAGATAGGACACTTTCAAGAGTGGTTTAGAAAAAGCACCAAAATATAGCTACATGGTTTACAAGGAATACTTAACACTAAGACATAGAAGTACTGATGGGAAAAAGGACTGAGGCCATAACTCAGTGTGAAGGACCTGGGTTCAATCCCTAATACCATAAAATATATAGGAAAACAAACAAAAACCTTTCTAACATTTTTGATTTTGTGAGACAGTTAGCAAAGTAGCTAAAGTACAAAAAAAAAAAAAAAGAGCACTCAAAATCAACTGCATTTCTATGCATATCAGGCAACATGCAATTTACTAAATATCAGAAGAGCAATAAAAAGTGTAAGGTATACTAGAAGAGTTAAGAAATACATGACTTTTATGGTAAAAATTATTAAAACTGTTATCACAAGACATTAAAAACCTAAATAAACAAAGAGACATGCCATGTTCACGTATAGAATGAGTACTGTTATAAAGATGTTAATCTTTCCAAACTGGTCTCTAACTATAATGCAACTGCAATCAAAATCCCACCATGGAGTACAGACTGGTGCAGCCACTGTGGAAATCAGTATGGAGATACCTCAAAGAACTAGGATTGGAAGTCCTATTTTACCCAGCTACCTCCCTATTGAGTATATTCCCAAAAGAATTAAAAGCATTGTACCACAGCGATATATGTATATATACCCATTTTACAGCAGCATGGTTTGTAATAGCTAAATCTTGGAAACAGCCCAACTGCCCATCAACTGGAGACTAGATAAAAAAAAGTGTGCTTTTAAAAAATAAAATGGAGTACTACTCAACCATAAAAAGTGAGAAATTTGAGACATTTATGGATGCACATTGATGTGATACTCTTAAGTGAAATAGATAGGACAGACATATAAATACCAAACAGTTTCTCTGGTGTGAGAAACTGAAAGTGTAAATAAGGATCAAAATGTGTAACAGGTAATGTGAAATAATCAGGAAGAAAAGGTCCAAATGGGAATTGGAAGTGGTAGGGGTAGGAGAAAAGAAAGAAGGGAATGAAATTAATATGAAAAAAGGAAAAAATGGAAACAGTCTTTGTAAATAGGGAAGGGTGGAGGGGTTGAAGGGAGGGCAGGGGAATGGGGAAAAAATAAGAACCAAGATATACTATATAAAGGTACAAATTTTCAAGGATGAATATCATTATTCTGTACCAAATGTATCAATAAAATAAAAAGCAAAAACAAAAACCCACCATGACTTTGTGATTATATGTGTAGACTTATTGTGGGAGTCTCAGTTTTAAGAGTCTGAATCAGGAGGCTTACTGAAGATAAAAGAACAAATTAATAATGGACGATTGCTGTGCATAGTGGCTCACACCTGAAATCCCAGCACTGGGGAAGCTGAAGCAGGAGGATCACCATGAGTTTGAGGCCAGCCTGGGCTGTACAGTAAGTTCAAAGCAAGCCTGAACTACACAGCGAAACACTTTCAAAAACTGAAAAAAATATCAAGGCCAGCCTGGACTACATAGCCAGACCTTGTCTCAAAAACAACCAGCAAAAAAGAAAGAAAGAAAGAAAAAGAAAAATGTTTTAAAAACTTAAAAATTATTTTGATTATTATATAGCAGTAAAAAGTGAAATATATCATCTTTATAATGTAATATACATTTCAGAATTAACTTAAACTAGTTCAGTTAAAAAAAAAAGAGTCAAGCTGGGCATGGTGGCGCACGCTTGTAATCCCAGCACTCAGGGAGGCTGAGGCAGGAGGCTTGTTGTGAGTTCCAGACCAGCCTGGGCTACATAGCGAGTTCCAGGTCAGTCTCAACTACATAGTGAGACTCTGTCTCAAAAAAACAAAAAACCAACAAAAGAAGGCTAAGCCCTAACCACATATTTCTAAAAATTCCAAAAAGAAGGAACACGAAATAGCAACACACATACATGCACGTGATTTAAAAGATGAAAATGATGCCATTGAGCACTGTGTTTATTTGGGGGGAGGCGCCTGGTATGTGAGGCAGGAAGGAATACACAGGAAAACAGGAGACCGCTGGTGCCATGTGGACCTTCAGTTGTCTAAGGGGCTCCCAGTGTTCACTTGGGCATCATGCTTACTAACTTACATGCGTGTGGAAGTATTCCATTCACACTAAGTACATTCTAAGAGGGCTGCGGATTTAGCTCAGTGGCACTGTGCCTGCCTCCCAAGCACAGGGTCCTGAGTTCAATCCTTGGTACCAGAAGAAAAAAAAAAACAAAACCCAACTTATTTAAAGTCAGTTGGCCAGATCAGATTCCACAAAGTAAGAATATTTTCATAAATTCCTGTCAATGGGTTTATCTGTCCTGAGCCCAGAGCTCAGAGCTGACTTTAGATTCCTCATGATAAGCCAGCAAAAGAAGAAATAAGAAAAGCTTGCTGGCAAAAGGGCTGCACCCCAGGAGCATCGCAACAGGCAGCTCTCAGGAGAGACAAGGAAAGGGACATGAACACTAACAAAGTGTCATCGCCTGGCCATTTCCCAAACAGGTGAACAGCGTCAAAACAAGAAAAATATTGACATTCTTTACTTTTCATGAACATTGTATAACAGGCCTTCGTGAATGTTTTTGGGTGGGGAACAATGCTGCAGATTAAACTCAAGGCCCGGTGATGTCTACATTTCCAACCCCCTTTAAAAGAACTTTTTTAAAAATTTGAGACAGGCTCTCACTAAGTTGCCCAGGCTGTTCTTGCACTTGGGATGCTCCTGCCTCAGCCTCCCAAGTGGCTAGGACTATAGGTGTGCACCACTGCACCAAATTCAATTCTTATTCTTTCTGAGGTTGAGATGCTCTGACAGCACGCTTACTATCTGAACATCCGGCAAGCGCTCAAGGCAGGTACCTGATAGGCCTCGGCGGCCGAGGTGACCACCTGCTCCACTGCACCGACAACAAAGACCCCCTTCTTGATGTGCTCCCGTAAGTACAGCCCCGCCGACGCAGAGTCCAGCAGGTCATGGATCTGTTCGTTGTAGATCTCGATGAAGGAGCACTTGCAGAGGAAGCTTTTTCCCGCACCAGCCTGGGAAGAGGAGCCTCATTAGGTGCATCATTGCCATATGCTCGGCCCTGGTTTTCCCAACCACCAATCCTGCAGTTGCTTTGGTGTGTAAGTTTCCTACACGACTGAAGTCTAAATAACTTGAAAGAAAGCAGCATCATGCTGGCCCCAGGGGCCCTGGAGGTTTGCACAGGTGCCTCAGAACCAGCTCACAAACACAGGCACTAAGCAGTCAGGTGGGCGACTCCGCCGTCTGTGTCTAGTATAGGACAGACGGTGGCGAACCTATGGCACGGACAGTCGGCTGTTACTGCAAGCTGTAAAAGGTTCGCCGTTACTGAGATAGACTATGGAAACAAGTATTATGTCCTTTAATAGCTGAAGGTAATCCATGTAAGAGATTGTCTACAGAATTTTTAACCATAGAATTACACGGTGCCAAACTTATTTATCTCACTGCCATGCAGTCTGTCTAACTGCAATGTTAGAACAGTTTCTACAAAGTGGTGAAGCAATTTTTGGTATCGGTTCCCTTGGTACACAATAATGGAACACACACACACAGAGGGTTCATAAGCCTGGAATTCACCAAGCTAAGAAGAAACACATCTTGAGAATGGTCCAACTGAGGCCGGTGAGAGGAAGGACCACAATGCAGCCAATGCGCCACATCTCTACTGGGTGTCATCAGGGATGGGGACAGCTGCACTCATCAGTAAGCATGGGCTTAGGCAGATCACAGGGCTTCGTGTATCTGTTTTCCTTGGTTGAGAATTTCTTTACACTTTCTCTTACAAAAAAAAAACTGAGAGCCTAAGAAACAGTATTTTCTTCTTTGTAAGCTAGCAATCAGGATAGAGGAAGACTTTACATACCAAAAACTCAATTAAACTGAAAGCAGAACTCACACTAGCTGGTCCATACAGCAGGGTGCTGCCCACGCCTCCCCTTGTTATTGAGCTAACCCTCTAAACTAGACATTGCAGTGTACTCTACTTTTCCAGTCTTACCTTCTCTTTTTCACGATCAATTAGGGCAAACAAATATTCAAAGCTTCGTGGGATTACTCCTCTCAAGTTATGAGAAAAATTATCAGATTCAGATGGTCCTAAAAAAAATAAATAAAACACCTGGTGATTTTTTTTTTTTTTTCCTGGTACTGGGGATCCAACTCAGAACCTTGTGCTTACGAGGCAGGCAGCAGCACCGAGCTGAATCCCCAGCCCTAGCCTGTTGATTCTTATGCTACCCCAAGTCCTCCAAAATGTCAACCTTGACGGGCAATTTAGAAATTACACAGAAACAGACGACACACACTGTATGCTCCTGACAGGCTGTACTGATGTCTGCGGGGACTGACGGAGCGTTCTCAGCAGCCACCAACAATTTGAGACAGTAGCTGCCATTTAATAAACTGACCAACAGTCCGCTTAGGAACTAAGCTTGCCATCTTCCCAACTGCTAGGTGCAGAAACAGGCAGAAATATCGACCTGACTGCATGCGACATCTGCTTTCATGGATGGACCTATGCTCCAGGCCACAGCCACACATACTCAAGGGTAAGGGAGGATAATGGTGATCATCACCAGGCTGGGCTAACGGCGGCGCACTCTGGGAGGCTGAACTAGGACAATTATAAATTCAAGCCCAGCCTGGGCAACTTAGTGAGACTGTTAAAGCAACAACAATAATAATAAACACAATTTTAAAAGAGCTGGAGACATACAAAGGCCCTGGGTTTAGTGCCCAGTGCTGTCCCCCTAAAAACACAAGCCTGCTTGCTATCCAGGAGCTCACTCTCTGGCAGAATTCTGAGCACATCCGTAGTTTTATAAGGTCAATATCTCATACAGAAGTTATAATGATATCATCGGGAAGAATACAATAAGCCAGAAAAGGTTAATTTTCATTCGCTTACCCATCATGGTAAATGTCTTCCCCGAGCCAGTCTGCCCACTGTAAGAAAGAATATCTTATATATTATTTTTACACATAAAATTTAGAAGACTACCCTTCTAATTTTAATACTTGTACAAATACTCCCCACAGAAACTCATTCTATTTTTAAATTATTTTATGTAAAAAGTGAATGGTCTAGTTTCTTCCCCGTCAATCCCAGTCCATAGAACTGTCTAGTAAATGCTTCTAGATTACATAAACATAGCCATCACAAAAATTGGGATAAGGTCCGTCATACTTCTCTGTAAGCTGCTTTTCTCTTCATTTTATTTCAATTTGTTTCTAAGCCAGCAACCAGATTTGAGTCGATTATAGAAGAACCAGGACACATAGGCCCAAACAAAAACAAAAACAAAAATATAAACTGTGCTCAAAATGAATTCTAAACTTCACTGCATTCTATTAAAAACTTCTGGCTGGGCATGGTGGCTCATGCCTGTAATCCCAGCACTTGGGAGGCTGAGGCAGGAGGATCGCTGTGAGCTCGACACCAGCCTGGGCTAGTGAGTTCAAGGTCAGTCTCAACTACATAGTGAGACCCTGTTGCAAAAAAACCAACAAAAAAAAAACCTCTGGTTTTACACAGAATTAGAAAGCCTATTGCTAAAAGAAAAACAAACAAACAAACCCAAGACGATCAGGATGCCTTCTGGAGTCCCAACATAGAGCCCAGAGCAATGCTTCCAGGCTGCTGGCACGAGGACAGCAGGAGCATCACCCACACCCAGGACACACCGGCTAGATGAATGCGACCACTAGGCTACTCTGGAATACACTTTGGCAGTTTCTCATGAAGTGAACCACACACTCACCATATGACCCAGCAACTGCCTTCCTAGGTATTTACCCAAGTGATTTGCAAACTTATATCCACACAAAACCCAATATTCAAATGTTTGTGGTAGCTTTATACTATTAAAAACAAGAAACAAGCCTGGCATGGTGGCACAAACTGGGAGAGGTGGTTCACGCCTATAATCCCAGCAATGCTGGAAGCTGAGGCAGGAGGTTTGCAAATCTGAGGCCAGACTGGGCAACTTAAGAGGACATTGTCACAAAATAAAAAATAAAATGGGCCAAGGTTGTGAGCAGCCCTGAGTTTAGTCCCAATTAATACAAGAAAAAAAAAAAATGAGGGAACACAGAAATCAGCCTCAAAGGAGTTCCCATTGGCCAAAGCTGGAACAATGTGAGGAAGAAAAATGCAGACTGGATTATAACCCAAGATACAGCAGCAATCCACATGAGACCACAGCACGGAGGAAACAGACACACTGTGCTCACAGCAGGCTTCGTGGAGCGGATATTTTCTCCACATGGTGGAGCTACCCACATGTGAGGACCTGACCACACACGTCCCTAACAGCTGAGACTTTCTCCAGCTTAGGTGGGGGTGTGACAGCCACAGAAGCAGGGCTGTAAGCCAAGCCATGTGGGTGGCCTCTGGGAGCTGAAAGAAGCAAGGATGCAGATTTTCCTGTACTCCTTCCAGAAAGGAGGATGGCCCTGCCACCTCCAGGTTAGTCCCATGAAACCAGCATGGAACTTGACTTGCAGAACCGTAAGAAAATGATGCTATTTAACCCACTAAGTTTGTTGCAATTGTTAAAACAGCAGTAGGAAATCTGAACCGACAATGACCACTACATCCTTCTATACAAACAGTCAGTAACATACTAGGCAAAGATGGTGCCATTATAGCCACTCATGCACGACTCCACGATGCTCTTCGCCACCGTCGAGAACACAGACTCCTACAAAGGTAAGTGACAAACAGTTAACATTTCAGAAATAGGACACACTTTTCCTAAACTACATTCTACAACAAAACAATAAAAACAGAAAGCTTAGATCTTTTCAACACCTGTGCCAACATGAAGGTTACATCCACTGTACAAAATGACTTAGCCATCCTAAGAGGAACAAACCCTAAAAGGACCTGGTCCCATTAATCACTTACACAATTATAGACATAACATGGACAGCATTAGAAACCTGACCACACACCAGGAGCTGAGAAAGCTAAATTAACGAGCACCTGATTGTCTTTAACTTCATCTATTTCTATGAAGAGGACAGAGCCTTGCTATATAGCCCAGGCTGGCCTCAAACTTGTGATCCTCCTGGCTCACCCTTCAGGATGTTAGGGTTATAGACATATGCTGCCATGCCAGGCTTTTTTTTTTAATAATTTAGAGAAAGGGGCTTGCTCTGCAGTTGTAGCTGGTCTGGAACTCAAGATTCTCCTGCCTCAGCCTCTGAAGTACTGGGATTACAGGTGTGAGTCACTACACCTACCTTTGTACTTTTTTTTTCTGGAGATTGAATCTAGGGCCTTCATATTGAGCTATGTCCTCAGACCTTTGCATGCTTTTTATTTTGAGATAGGGTCGTCCTAAGTTCCCAAAGCAGAACTTGAAATTCTGCTGTTTTAGCCTCCATAAGTGCTGGGATTACAGGCATGTGCCACCATGACCAGCTTGTTCTTTTTTTTTTTTTTCTGGCAGGCACGAGCACCACTGAGCTAAATCCCTGGCCCTTGAACTATTTTTTTAAGGTATCAATATTATTTAGTTTATAAATTTGTTTCGATTTTTTAAAATAAAAATATTCCTTTTAAAAAAAGTGCACATCTAAACTTCATACAGAATTAGCATATTGGATGTAATTATACTGGTACTGGTGTAAAATACACAGCCCTATATTTTCTTCAGTTTTTCTCTCATAGGTTATATAAAGTAATATGAATTTCATTTTCATTTTTTATTTATTTTGGGGGGGGCTGAGTTAGGGTCTCACTATGCAGTTGAGACTGAACTGGAACTCACTATGTAGCCCAGGTTGGTCTCGAACTCATAGCAATCCTACTGCCTCAGCCTCCTGAGTGCTGAGATTACAGGCATGCGCCACCATGCCCGGCTCATTTTCAATTTTTATATATAAGTAGATGCACTCTTATTAACCATGCAAGAACTCTTCAGCCCACAGGCAGCCACTGAACACCTGAAACACTACTACTGTGCCATGAGGTGCTGCGAGGGGAAATGTGAGATTTTGAGGACTGAGCCAGAAAAAAATGCAAAGTCTCTCATTAGTAATTTACACTGATTTCATATTAAAACCCTACCTTGCGTGGGACATGGAGGCATAAGCCTGGAATTCCAGAGCATGAGAAGGCTGAGGCAGGAGGACAAGTTTGAGTCTTCTGTGGTCAACTTATTAAGACCCTGTCTCAAAATAAAAATTTTAAAGTGCGAGGGATGTAGCTCAGTGTTAGGGAGTCCCTGGATTTGACTGCCAGTATTGCCAAGAGGGAAAAAAAAGGATTTGGACCTTTTGAGATAAGTTATAGTATTAAGATTACCTGTATCTGTGTGTACCAGAAAATTTTAAATTATCCATGGGGCTCAGCTTACATTTCTAGACAAAAAGAATGAAGATGTAAAGATGTGAAGGCCCCCACCAAAAATATTACTATATACAAGGAGATAATCAAGAGCCATGATGTCTGTGGTGCCATCACTAGCCTGTGAGCTACTGAAGTTGGTTGGGTGTGCTTTATTTCCTTTCTGTGAGGCAGCAGAGGTCGAACCCAGGGTCTTGCACATGCTACACAGATTCTCTACTGCTGAGACACAGGCCCAGAGCCCCAGCCCCAGCCAGGAACTGAGTGTATAACTTCCGGGGAACTGGGGATATAGCTTCACACTGAGTTACTTCCCAGCCCTTTCTTTATTCTGAGACAGGGTCTCATTAAGTTGCTCAAGTTGGGCTCCAAATTTCAGTCCTCCTGCCTCAGCCTCCCAGAGCACTGGGATTACTAATGTGCACCATCAATTTCACTTCATTATTTCATTTTAAGACCAGATCTCATTAAGTTGCCCAGGCTAGCCTGAACTTGTGATATTCCTGCCTCAGCCTCCTGAGCAGCTGGGATTACAAGTATGTGTCATCAGACCCAGCTTAAATTTGATTAAAATTAAATAAAATTTAGTTCATCAAATACACTAGCCAATTTTCAAGTGCTTAATAGCCACATGTGGCTAATGTCTTTAAGGGTCTCATTAAGTAGTTCAGGCTGGCCGTGTACTCATTATGTAACCTAGATTGGTCTTGGACCTGGGGGCGACCCTCCTGCCTCAGCCTCCCAAGTGCTAGGACTACAGAAGTGCACCACCATACCTGGTTCTTAACTTACACTTAAATATTCATGATGGGCTAGAGGTACTGTAATGGGCAGCTCAGATAAAAAACCCTTTCATCACTGCAGAGAAGTCCTATTGGATAGAGCTAACAAGATCTTAAATTAATTTAAACTGAAAAAAGTTACCAACATCATAATAATTCTAATTATTAAATTAGGCAGTCAGCTGTAGTTAACTATTCAAGTGGCTCTGAAAAGTTTATCTCCATTAACTTCCATTGCTGAGAAGAAAAGGAAAGTAAAGCTAGTACGAAATCTGATTAGTAAAGAAGAGCCAGTCACAATGGCACACACCTGTAATCCTAGCTACTCAGGAAGCTGAGGCAGGAGGCTCAAGAGTACAAGATCAGCCTGTTCAACTAACTTAGCCAGACTCTGTCACAAAATTTAAAAAAGGTTAGGGATGTAGCTTAGAGGTAGAGTGCTCCTGTACTGGGAATAAACAGAAAAAAGAGAAAAAAATAAAATAAAATTAGATGTGAGGTATTTATGGCAAGTTTGAGCTTCCTGACCTGAAGTCTGCCAAACAAATGACCAAAGATGAAACCCATACAAATAACAAAGCCTTGTACATTCCATGGGAGAAGCTTCTAGTTCTCTCTACCTGAGTGGTGTTCATGTCAGCAATGTAATCAAACGTGAAGGTCTTGGGCTCGGGGTTGGAATGCAGCCGGAGGGTTGTGGAGGAGAGCACAGAGAGACACAGGTTTTGCTCTCCATCCACTGATCTTGAGCCTTCTGCAGGTGGGCGGATTCGTATGAAAACTCTGATGGCATCACCTTCATTACTTAAGCAAAAAAAAAACAAAACAAACTAGTAAGGAAATTTTTGGAGAAAACTATCAAAGAATTGGTCTCAAATTGTTTCTAATATGTCTATCATGAGCTTCCCTGAAAAAGCCTGCTCCATTTAGCTTTACCACTTTTAAGAGTCTCATGCAACTCATGCCCTTTATTAATTTACTCTGTGATAGGCACCTTCACCACCTTTTACTAGAAGTAAACTTAAAGGGAAGTTCATTTCAAGGAGACGTAAACACTGCTTGTCTCTCATTTCCTTCTTACTAGCAACGATTGGATAAGTAATTCCTAGGGAAAATTATGCAACTAACTCCACATTTTAGCCTGGAAATAGAGAGGTCCTCTACGCTGGACTCTTTCCCCCTTGACCCCTCCAGTGGCTCTGCTAGCCCTCGGGACACAGCGCCCTCCTTGTGGTGATTCTGCTTATCTTCTGCTCTGCCCACACCTTGCTGCTTCCGTCCTCAACCCCCCTTCCCCATGAAGGAAGTGCCAGTCTCTACTGACCCCTCCACGGGCATTTCCCATGTTGCCATTTGGTTGATGACCAAACTAACACTTGAAACAAGTTCTCTTACTACGCTACGTAGGTCTTCTGGAAATACTGCATAGCTAATTCGGGGTGCTCATGACAAGATTTCTTTCTTACCTTGGTTGGTTAGACTGAGAAGTTATCACATTGCGTAACTCAGCTGGAAAAAAAGGTGAGAACTCATGAGAGGCGGCTACAATTACATTATGGAAATTGCACTTTGTCTAACGCTCCTTGGTCTCCTCACAACCCTTGCAGGACTGTGGGGTGCCCCTCGCCCAGGCCTGGACCCTCTTCTCCTTTCTATCCCAGTCCTGCCATTCAGTCCTGCGGTTGTAGGTAAACAATGATGATCCCCAAATCTGTGCCTGCACCCCGGGCTACTGCCATCTAATGCTTATCTCTCTCTCCCATTGGACACCCCATGGGCAACATCTCAAGGTCAACACTTCCACAACCGAGCTTCTGACTCCCCTCGCCACCCCCATGTGCTGATTCACAGTGTAGACTCCCACCACTGCTGGTGGGAGTGTAGGCTGGTGCAGCCACTGGGAAATCAGTGTGGAGATTTCGCAAAAACTAAAACAAGGGGTTCCATTTGACACAGCTATTCCCCTATCTTCCTGAAAGAATTAAAAGCATCACACTATAGTGATATATGCACACCCGTGTTTATAAGGGAAAGTTTTGTAATAGTTCAATCTTGGAAACAGCCCAAATGCCCACCAACTGATAAATGGTTAAAGAAAATGTGGCTTTTTTATTCAATGCAATATTACTCTGCCATAAAGAAGATAAGCTGCAGACATTTATAGCTAAATGGATGGTCCGTGAGACCATACTCTTCAGTGAAATAAATGGGACACACATGTTTAAATGCCACACTGTTTCTCTGGTGTGAGAAACCAAAAGTGGAAATAAAGACTAAAATGCATAATAGATACTGGGAAACGGGAAGAAAGTGCTCAAAGGGGAAGAAGAACTACGGGGGGGAGGAAGAAAGGAAGGAAGGGACAACAAATAAAGTGAGAATAGAAAAGCTTTTGTACACAGGGAGCGGAGAGGCTTGAGGGGGTAATGAAATAAAATTTAAATTAAATTTATTTTAAAAACAGGAAGTGGCAGATGTAAAGCCAACTGTATTAGTCCAACTGAGGCAGGTTCTGGGCTGGGCTGGCTCAAGACCAAGAGTGTCCTGCTCTCACCATATTTCCTTAACAGCCTGTCATGCATCTGAGAACTATGATCCCATCTCACCACTGTGTCCCTTACATCCTGACGAGAGCCCCAAAGATATGTGCCTGCCCTTATCACGCTCAGAGTAACCTAGGGTGACCCCACAGCCATTATAGTATAACTAGCACTGCAGTTCTGTCAAAAGCAAAGGTGACAGCAAAAAATCTTGAAGCCTCCCCACTGCTCTCCTCTGGGGGAAAAAACAGGACGAAGCAAATGGGTCTCCTTGAAGTGAAAACAGACTGTGAGAATATATAGTGCCCCCCCCATCTGGGAGCTGTCAACTGCAGTCCAAAAATGTTCAATGGAAATGTACTCATTATGTACTGCCAACATGTACCAATAAACATAAAATATTTTTAAACATTAAATGGAAAACCCAGAAGAAAATTCATACGCTTTTAAATTGCATGCCGAGTAGCATGATGAAATCTCATTCACCAAACAGACCTAATATTTCCCCCAAAGACCTCAATTCAGCCTGCCAAGTGGGTTCTTGACTCATCACAGTAAAAGAATTTCGGGATACAACAGCGAAAGACCAAAAAAAAAAAAGTTTATTAGGCAAAATTAAAGAAACACCTGCTCAGAGAACTCAGCGTGTGGGGTCCTCGAGACAGTGGCGCCCTATGGTCTGGGGCTGGAGGTGCAGAGTGATCTAATCCCTCTCAGAACTCTTCCTCCACAACACACAGCCTATCCTTTTTGGTAATGTGCCTTTTACTGTAGTCATTTATATATATATTTTTTTTTTCCTTTCTTTTTCTTTTTTAAATACTGGGACGAACTGCGGACCTTGCCTCTGCTAGGCAGGCGGCAGCACCACTGAACTAAATCCCTGGCCCTCGTTTTTATTCTCAATTTAAACATTCACTATGTTTCCCTTCGACCTGTTATTTCTCCTATCTCAACAGGGCCCTGCTTCCTCCAGTCCAAGGCACATCCACACGTCTATAACGCCGCCCTACCAGCAGTCTGTAGCCTCTCAGTTATCAGAGCAACCAGCGGACCCTCGGGGCCTGTCACGCTGTCATTCATCTCACCTGAGACAGTTCATCACCGCACAAGAGGGAGGGCGAGTGAACACAGTAAGACGTCTCGAGAGAGACCACATGCACCTAACCATGATTACAGGCTCAAGTCTGTCTACCATCATTGCTCCATTTCATTAGAGTGCCTGGTTCACAAACTAAGCACACAAACAGCGGTACGGACGTACAGGACAAAGCAGAGTACACACTGCGTTCAGCACCAGGGCGCTATCAGGCTTCAGGATGCACTGGGGCCCGCGTCGGGAGACCCCTAAAAACACACCGCAATCTCTGGTTGCAAAGGAGCGCTTGGATCTAAATGTTTCTCTTCCGGAAAGGCAGGGACCTGTAGACCCGAGGAAGGGGCGAGGCCAGCCAGGGAGGAAGCCGCGGTGGATCCGGGGCGAGGCCCGCGAGGACGCGGAGCAAGACGGTGAGGACGCGGGCCTCCCCT